GGGATCTTCCCAGGAATCACCACAAGCACAAGTCCTATAAAACTGCCAAGGTTAGAAATGGTTCGAAATGATGAAAAAATCAGAAATTAAGAAACAGAAAAGGCTCAAAATGGTTAGAAAACTGGCTGCTGAATAAAACTGTGAGCAGTCCGTTCTTTCCTCTGGGTGTCAACACAAACCCCACGTGACTTTTCCTTCACCAGACCCCAATTCCACTGCCTGGAGGAAACATTTCTCAGCCAGCAGAAGCAAATGGATCAACCAGCCTTGTTTATGCCTCTTAATTCGAGGAGATTTTTCTGCTTGATGAGGAGGAAGCAATAAATTTCACGCTTATTACCAGCAGTTAGCAGGGTAATCTTTCCGTGCCACTCTGGAGGATCCATAGGGGAAGATCCCTGAGCCAAGCCTTTGTTCAAAGCTAAACTTCCTCCAAGGCACAGAGGGAAATCAGAGAGGAAGGGAAATCAGGGATGAAGCTCCTACCATTCCTGGCATGTGCATTGGTGGTGTAAAAGCCATTCCTGACTGGGAGTCGGCCCGTCAGCAGCGCTGCCCTTGCTGCAAGTAACAAAAACATTCATTTAGATGCATTCTCTGCCTAATATTAACATTGTTGTATGAAGAATGAGGCCAGAACACTGACAGAAGTGTGTCAGTGTCCTCTTGCCACAGCCAGCACTGAATCACTCACATTAGAACTGGCAGCAACTCCCCTCTCCAGTGAACCAGGTTCTGACAAACCATTTGAGTTATTCCAGGACAAATCCAAGTGAAATTTGGCCTCTTTATTAAATTACCCACTGCTGAAGAGTCATTATTTTGAATAGTCAATGCAGTAACACTTACATCTCAGTTTCATATATATATATATAAAATATATTTAAGAGGAAATCATAGCACAAACTGATTAGATGCTCAAGGCCAAGTTTTCAAGCTTGACTGAACAAAAATTATGAAATATAAAGAGCTGTCCAGCTTTGACAATAAAATCAACTCCTGACTGGAGGGAACATTTAAACAAGATGTTTAACTTTAAGCATATTCAGTCCACCATTGGACTTAGCAGGATTTCAGCATATTTTAAATGCCTTTTCTCATCAGGGACGTCATCAGCACACTGCCAAGTGATATCCTAAATGAAAGTCCAAATAAAAAGTCCCTGCTCCTCATTTTTGTTTCATTTCTTGGCAGCTAAGCAGGTTTGAGGGAAAAAGAAAGGAAAAAAAGAAACCACCTCACAGAAAAAAGAATAAGGATAAAAATATCTGTGTTTCCCAGACCCAAACGTTTCTTTTATCTCTCGTCCCTGTCCCAAGAATCTCCAAGTCACCAGGGTCAAAAACAGGGCACAACCCGCTGCCTTTCTTCACCACAGCCAACAGAATCAGACAAAATATGTTCAGCAACAGTTTAAATTGCGCTTTGTTTATCCCAAAATAAGAAAGCTTAAAAAATGCAATGACTGGGGCTGGAATATTGAATTGCAATGGTTTAAAAAATCCTTTAGCTGGGCTGATGTGATCACTGCACCAGTGCTCCGCATGAACTAAAGACTGTAGGTTTTCCAATCAAAACATAAATAAAAAGGGAGCAAAAGGCAAGATCAAAGCACCAAATCCAAACTCTGGCCTGAGGGTTTGGCTGTGAGTTGATGTCAGACCCTGGCGAACACCCCAAACTTCCCAAAATAAGATGTTTCTTGTGCTTACATGGTTTAAAACTCCAGTTTACTTACAGGGGGAGCAGAGGGGGTTGGCAGTATAAAAATCCAGGAAAAGCATCCCTTCTGCAGCCATCTGGTCCAGGTTAGGGGTTTCCTTAGCAGGTTCTCCAAAAACCCCTAAATCCCCCCAACCCATCTGTAAAAAGAGCACACCAAAAGATGTAAAAGTCCTTTGCCACAACCGCAACGTTTCTGAGCCCACATAACATATCCCTTAATTTATCATTTTTTACAGTGCTCATCTCCCTACTCAGTGCTTTCCACATATGACGAAAAGGATCTTTCCCAGCCCTGTGAAACAAGGAACTCTTGCACTTCTCCCTGGTAGGTGGGAAACTGAGGCACACATAAGATTAAATGACTTACTAACAGGCACTAAACCACTTGTAAGATCCCCAGAGCCTTCAGTGTTACTCAAAGGCCTGAAGCACACACAGAGCAGGGCGACACAGGAAGTTACACATGATATACTTGGTGTTGTACAACTGCCACATCCGACCCTTCAGCCCCTCCTTTGTGCTGGACCCAAGATTCTGTCTCAGCCTCTGGATCTATCCCTCTGCATATAAGAAACTAGAAACACAAAATAAAGGTCTAAACTCAAAAGCAGCACTGCAGGAAAAACAAGGAAGTGTTTGTTTTAAAGCAAGAGGAGAGAAACCTGCCAGAGGCATCACATGTCCCTCTGCTTATCTGTGGTTTCACCCTGTTCTTCCTCCTAATTCCGAGGGTCACGCGCCAGGAGAACCATAAAATTCCCATCACGGTGTCTGTGTTCTGTGCTGAAAACCATTACTGGGAAAAACACAGATTGAGGCAGAAGGTTCTTGAAGGGAACAACTTAATGAGCCATTAGGCACCACTAGTGCCAGTGATTATATTGTGCTTTAAAAAGGCAACAGATTCCTTTAACTCAGGCGTGTCTCAGGTGAGCAACAGATACAGAGGGCAGGATGTATGGAGATCTTTAGGAAATCATCATCTGGAAGATGACATGAAAATATTAGGAGGAAAGCCAACCAGGAAGATAGCAGCAACCTGAAAGTGTTGGAAATGGATATATCTCCTTATCCACATGGCCAAGGGTGCAAAAGTGGAAAGACTTCCAGTTGGAAACAAATCTGTGATTAATTTTGCTCTTTAATGATTTATTGCACTTTTTTCCCCACTCAGTTCAGAGAGCAAAAGTTAGTGCAATTACTCCTCCTCTTGTTTAGTTTTTCAGTAGACAAGTGTGGGTTTTTAAATATTTCCTGAAATGTGTTGGAGTTTCTTTGTCCACACTTGTAGATGCACCTTATTTGCTGCTACTACAACTCCATCCACCACAATTGCCACAATTCTTTGTGTAGGCTACAAAGCCAAGCTTTAACTTCAGGATGAGTCTACCAATGTTTAAAAATCAGCAAGACACCTGTTTTGCAATATTTACGGTTGAGTCCTCTCCCAAGGACTGTGAATTGCTCAGACATTATGAAAGGAAGGGCAGAAAAGATAATTAGACTCCTAGGTAAGTTATTTCTTAATTCCAGATTCCAAAAGATTTGACTTAATAGCTCAGAGAAATCTCATTTGTTTTCAGGACATCCACACACATGGAATAAGGAGAGGTCACCTGGGGCAGGTGAAGGAGGGGGCAGGAATATGCTGAGCCTGGGGCTTCCTCTCATTTCTCCACCACTTTTTACACAAAATCTGGGAAGGACTCAAGAAAGACCAGACCGTGGCGGCTTTCAGAGCCAAACTTACTCAAATATTCCATCTTATTTCACTCAAAGTTTCCCAGATCATCACACAGACTGTGCCTGAACCACGCGCTGAGGAGTTCCAACCATGAATCACAGCACAGACCCCACTCCTGGGTTGTCCCACCACTGGAAAACAGCACAGATGGGGCACAGGGAGACCACAACACCTGGAAAGGATGATGTGTAGGCCTGGAAACTGTGGCTAAGCGGGATTGTGCACATCAGGGAGAGCTCTGCTCTGTGAGAGTCAGTGAGACAGAACTCTAGTGAGCACAGAAAGCAAAGAAATGCTCAAGACACACTCTGAAAACTCAAGTCTGAAAACACAAGCTGTGGCTGCTCCAGCCCTGGAAGTGTCCAAGGCCAGGTTAGATGGGGCTTGGAGCAACCTGGTCTAGTGGAAAGGTGTCCCTGCCCAAGGTAAGGAGTTGCAACAAGACGGTCTTGAAGGTCCCTTCCAACCCAAACCATTCCGTGACTCTATGAAGAGCCCCCACCTCACCACGAGCCCCCCAGCCTGCCCCCCACAACAAGAACTCTACAGACCTGAGCCCCAATTTCCCTCAGAATATCCTGAGCTGGAAGGGACCCACAGGGATCATCAAAATTCAACTCTTGGCCCTGCACAGGACACTCCAACAATCCCACCCTGTTCCTGAGAGCACTGTTCAAATACTCTTTGAGCTCTGGCAGCCTTGGGGCCGTGACCACTGCCCTGGAGAGCCTGTTCAGTGCCCAACCACCCTCTGGGGCAAGAACCTTTTCCTGATATCCAACCTAACCTTCCCCTGACACAGCTCCAGCTGTTCCCTCGGGTCCCACACCGACCCCTTCCCAGAACCCGCCTCTGGGGACAAGCACTCAGCTCTCCCATGGCCACCAACCCCCTCACAGTGACCAACATCACAGAACCACAGAATGGGTGGAAGCCATCTCTGGAGATCATCCAGTCCAAGGCAGGGTCACCTGGAGCAGGTGGCACAGGAACATGTCCAGGTGGGTTTGGGATGTCTCCAGAGAAGGAGACTCCAGGCCCTCCCTGGGCAGCTGTTCCAGTGCTCTGCCATGCTCAACGCAAAGAAGTTCTTCCTCATTTTGACGTGGAACTTGTTGCATTTTAATTTATGGTCATTGCTCTTCGTCCTGCCGCTGACAGGACAGACTCTGAGACTGAACATGAGTTCAGTCATGGTCCCGAACTCTGCGTTCGGCACCACCCTGACATCCCTTGGGGACATCCGTATGGAGAGATGGGATCCCCTTTGGGTTATCCCTTCTCCCAGACCCAGCTCCCGCGGTCTCTCCTCACCAGGGAGATGCTCCAGACCCCTCATCACCCCCTCCCTGCGCCCTCACCCCCCGCTCCGTCCCTCCGTGTCTCAGCCCCGCGGGGTCCCTCCCTCGCGGTGACGCGGTGCACCCCCCTCCCCCCCGTGCCCCCCCCCGCTCACGTCGTCCATGAGGAGCAGGAGGATGTTGGGGGCGGCGGCGGCGGCGGCTCCCAGGGCCCAGCACAGGCACAGCGGCCGCAGCGCCGCGCTCGCCATGGCAACGGGGCCCCCGCGCCACGTGACCCGCGCCGCCACACGTGACCGCGCCCCCTCCCTCCCCCGCGTGACCGCGTGAGCGGCGGGAGGGGGCGGGGCAACATGGCGGTCTGCATCGCCGTGATCGCCAAGGAGGTGCGGCGGGAGCGCTGAGGGGGAGAGCGCTGAGCGGGACAGCGGGGCCGGGGGGCGGCTGGTCGGGGTGGGGAGAGGGCTGTGGGGTCTGAGGGGAACGGGGAGTCACCGGCAGCTGTGGGGTCTGAGCGGGGCAGCGATGCCGGGTGGGGTTCGAGGAGGGCTGAGGGGCTCGGTCTGGGGGCGTGGGGCGTGAAGAGGAGAGGGGATCAGGTGGAGCCATGGGGTCGGAGGAAGGAAGAGGGGCTGGGCCTCCGGATTCGGGGCCTGAAGGGGACAAGAGGGCCAGGGCGGGTTGCAGGGCCAGAGTGCATCCAGGTGGGGTCATGGGGCCTCAGCGGGGATTAAGGGCTGGGAATCAAGGTGTGGGGTCCTGAGTGGGGCAGTGGGGCCAGGTGGGGTCATGTCATAGGGCCTGAGGAGGGAAGAGGGCCCGGGGCTTACGCTGTGGGGCTGAGGGGAGAAAGGGGTTCAGGTGGAGCTTTGGGGTCTGGGAACGGTGAGGGGAGAAGAGCTGGGGCTCTGGTTTTGGGGCCTGAGTGGGACAGGGGATCAGGGGGGTTTATAGGGCCAGAGTGGGTCCAGGTTGAGCTGTGGGGCCAGGTGGTGTCATGGGGCCTGAGGAGGGGAAAGGGGCTGGGTCCCAGGTTTTGGTCCCCGAGCAGGAGTGAGGGCAACAGAACTGGGGCTGTGGGGCTGGGGAGAGGAGAGCTGGACAGGGGCTGAGGCTATGGGGTGTGAGCAGGAGTGGGGCAGACATGGGTGGTTGAAATAGGCTGGGATCAGAGCAGGGGCAGTGTAGGGGTGCCCTACAGTGTCCTGCTGACCTGCTGCCAAGAGGAGTTTTCCTCAGGAAGAGCTGGGCAGGTTCTGCTGGGATAAGGAGACAGGAGCAGAGAGGCCTGAGGCTTGTGCAGTGCCTGTGCAAATGTCCTGCCTCAGGGACAGCTCTGCACTGAGGGTCTGACATGTGAAGGGAGATGTGAACATAAAATGGTTAATGGCTCCTGACAGTAGCAGCTCTTTGGGTGGAGCACTGTCAGGGCACCATCACTGATGGAGTGGCAGGTCTTGGTCAATGTGATTTGTTCTCCCCCTCAGAACTACCCCCTGTACATCCGGAGTGTCCCCACAGAGAACGAGCTGAAGTTCCACTACACTGTTCACACATCCCTCGATGTTGTGGATGAGAAGATCTCAGCCATGGGCAAAGCCCTTGTGGACCAGAGGGAGCTCTACCTGGGGCTCCTCTATCCCACTGAAGACTACAAGGTGTATCTTTCTCGTGCCTTTTGCCAGGCCATGGTGTGTTTAATTTAATGAGCTGCTTTCTCCTGATGTTGCTGGACCAGTGACTCCCAACAGCCCTGTGGGTCATAGAGTCATGGAATGGTTTGGGTTGGAAAGGACCTTAAAGCCCACCCAGTTCCACCCTCTGCCATGGGCAGAGACATCTTGCACTAGACCAGGTTGCTCCTGGGTTTTAATAAACTGGGTGTTTCTTCTGGGTGCCTCAGGTCAGTCCCACTGGCTGATGTTATATCTTCAGGTCTCTTTGGTCTCCCAAAGAAGTCCTACAGGCAGAAGTTCATGGAATCATGGAACATCCTGAGTTGGAAGAGACCCATCAAAGTCCAACCCCTGGCCTTGCACAGGACACCCCAACAATCCCACCCTGTTCCTGAGAGCACTGTTCAAATACTCTTTGAGCTCTGGCAGCCTTGGGGCCGTGACTGCTGCCCTGGAGAGCCTGTTCAGTGCCCAACCACCCTCTGGGGGAAGAACCTTTTCCTGATATCCAACCTAACCTTCCCTTGGCACAGCTCCAGCCATTCCCTCAGGTCCTGCCACTGGTCACCAGAGCAGAGATTGGTGCTGCCCCAAGGGAGGAAGTTATCTCACATTTCTCAGCCTGGTTTTGATGGTTTTGCCAGGCCCTGGTGTGCCAGCAGCACAGTCCTTAACACCTGCACAGGTATGGCTACGTGACAAACTCCAAGGTGAAGTTTGTCATGGTGGTGGATTCGTCCAACACGGCCCTTCGAGACAACGAGATCCGCAGTGTAAGTGCAGCAACCCAGAGCCACCTCACTGCTTGTGCTCCTGCCACTGCCCCGTGCAGTGCTGAGAAGCAAAAACATTAAATCACTTGCAATCCCTTTTCAGATGTTCCGGAAGCTGCATAATTCATACACAGACATCATGTGTAACCCTTTCTATAACCCTGGGGACCGGATCCATTCCAGGTGAGTGGGTTTTCCACACTCATCCTTGTGTCTCTGTCACCTTTCTGGAACTTTCAGGGTACCTGTGATTTAACACAACGAACCCTGTGGTGGACCAGTCAGGTGTGTTTGCTCTAATTGCCTAAATAAGAATAGCTATATTTCTACCTCATAAAAACTTATAAAAAGTTATATTGAACTCTGACTCCCACCTCAGAACTGGTGTTAAAAACATTAAGTCAAGAAAATGTATTTTTCCTAGCTTAACTAGGAGTCATTAATTACTCAACAGACCATGCTATAAAGAGTAAAACCATGTGTGCAGCTTAGGGAAAGCCAGGCAGAGACACTGTGGTGTTACAAAGCTCTGCTGTGCAGAACTAGCTGCTCCCTTTAATAATTTGTGTTTATTTCCTTCTCCAGGGCTTTTGATAATATGGTGAACTCCATGATGATGCAGGTGTGCTGAAACCCCTTTCCATCCCACTGTTGGGAGCATCCCCCCTGTACAGGAGCAGTGATGTATATATTGTCTTCAGTCTGTGTAATATTTTAATTTTAATCTGTAAAATAAACTTGACACCTGCAAGGTTTGCATGGATTTGTACTCAAGGAAACCTGAGTATAGCACAGAATTCACTGTTCACAGAACCATGGAATTGTTTGGGTGGGAAAAGACATTAAAGCTCATTTCATTCCATGCCCCTGTCCTGGGCAGAGACACCTTCCACTAGACCAGGCTGCATGAGATGAGCTCAAAGGCCCTCTTCCCTTCCTAGGATGATTTTTGGGTGACTCACTTTTTGCTGTTAACACCTTGCACCTTGTCCAGACAGCCCAGGCACACTCCACAGTGATTCCCAGCACAGGTACAGCTGGAATAAATCCACCCATGGGATTAAGCCTTCAGGATTGCACAGCTGCCTGGCTCACCCCAAACTAATCTCTACTAGCATCTCCTCCCCTGCAGCTCCCTGCTGCTCCAGTTAAAGACTCCCCAGTCAATAGCAGGTATTTATATGGAATAAAATACAAATTGGACTGGAAAAGCATCCCAACTACTTCCATCATTACAAGGTGATGCAAGCAGGAGTAGGCACTGAGCAGCTACTCAGTGCTTCTCACACACTTCAAGCCTTTCACACCCCACAGGCAGGAGCCTGCGCTTCAAGCACCTCATCAGTTAAAAACATAAACCAGCTAAAAAAACAGAGCTGTACAGCTCCAGAGGATCCTGGGAGCCTGGAGAAAGCCAAAACTGCACATGAAGTTCACGCAGCAGGATCATTTATTTTAAAAACAAGTGACAGTTACAATACTTTCTCAAACAGAACTTAAGTACACTTAATCAACAATCTGTCAGATCAGGGGAGATTCAGGCTTCTCCCACCATCTCCACAGGGCACAGCTGTGCACTGCTATCCCAACATATTTTAATCTAAAAATCTTTACTGTTTTCACTCGGAGACAACAGCTCTGCATTTCCTCTTCCACTACAGTGCAAACACCCCAAAGTAGTTTTTTTATTAAAAAATAAGTCTCAATAAAAATTTTTTATTAAAAAATAAGTCTCAAAAATTTACAAACTACAAACAGAAGCACTACAAAAAGCTGGTTTATAGTCTAAACCTAAGAGTAGCTCAAATCAAGGTCAGTCTCTGCAGCACTGTGCACAAAATTAACACAACATGAAAAGTTAAAGCCCCAAGCTTTAAAAAATAAAAACCTAGAGATCTTAAAGGGAAAAAAAAAATCAGTGGGATTTTTAGCCTGGCAATGCCCCCTGAGCTGTGAAAAGCTGCTTTACGAGTCGGTTGCATCTGTTGCATCTGGGTTAGAGGAATCCTAACCAAGGATCCTGAAAGATTAGTGGGAGAATTACATAATAAAACCCGTTTCCATGCAGAACTTTCCCCAGGAACACTGTCTGCTGGTGTTTCCAGCCTGCCCCTTTTAACACAAAGCTTTCCCTTTAAAACTAAGTGGTTTCAGAACACATAAACACAAAATCAGCAGGAAAGGGAAGAGCCAGGAACCTTGTTCCCTGATCCGCAGCTCCTGTGGTGCACTTTGATCCCAATCCTCCAGCTCAGCTGGGCTCACACCATCCTCAGTGCAAATCCAGAACAGGAATTATGGTGGGAATAAAGAGGAAAATCAGACCAAATTTGAAACAACACAGGTGATTTTGTGATGCTGCTACTGCTGGAAGTAAAGCCAAATGATGAGTTGGCAGTTCGTAGCTTTGGAATAAAAGCAGGAGGGAGGGAAGAGGGGGTTGCTGACTTCCAAAATAAAAAGGGGGAAGGGTTTTGTGACACCCGGGTCTTGTATAACTACCAGAGAAGAGGCTTCCAGAGAAATAGCAAGGGATTTTTTTCCTCTGCCCTAGATGTACAAAGGCAGCGAGCTAAAAACCAGACCCAAACCACATCAGGCTCCTAGAGCAAGATCGGGAAACCACAGAGCTGATAAAGGAAAAGCTCCCCAGCAGTCAGAGCTACAGCTGCAAACCAAGACATTAATTTGGAGAAGAAAGTCTTTGGAAAGGTCTTTAGGATCTTCTTAGGAGAAGAGAAGGCAGCACTCAGCTGCTGCAGGAAGAGCTGGCAGAGCTGAGGGAGCTTCCCAACTGAGCAGTGGGGTGGAGATCACCTGGACAGCCAGGAGTTAAAGGAAACCCACCAGTACAGCCCCCTTTTCCATGGGATGAGAAGGAGACAACAGTCTGGGAGACCTCTTTCCTTCCCAGGACAGTGTTCTCTGGAATGAGCCTGTTCTCCATGCAAACAGTCCCCTAAGCAGAGTTGAGGTGAGATGAGCCTCTCCTGGGATTCTGGCAGGAGGGAGCAGATTCCATCTTCCCTCCCACAGCCTGGCACAGGGCTCACCAGTAAATCCTCACAGCTAGGCAGATGGCATTTTTTAAATTAATCTGATTTTTGGCTTGGGTAGGCATTTTTTAAATCTCATCCAATCTCATCTCCTCTTGTCAGTCCTGTTGGCATCACCAGGGCAGTCCAGTCCTTTCTAGTATGGAAAATACCAAGGCAGCAGCCTTGCCCGACCCCTAAACAGGAATAAAAACAGCATCCTAAAGTACAGGGCACCTGCTCCCTCATCCCTCCAAGGGCTGGAATTCACCTTTCTGCACCAGCTACCTCAGACTGCACCCCCAAAACCAGGGAAGCCCCAAGACCAGGCACAGCTCTGGGACCAGTCAAGGCTTGAAGTACAATGTGCACCCACCATCCCCCAAATCCCTCCAGGAATAGAGGGGCAGTAGCAAGTTTATCCAGCTGTTCCTTCCTCCCAGAGCCTTTCTCCATCCTCTCCATCCATGCCACGGTGGGAGGTGCAAAGCCAGGATACTGAGCAGAGCCAGAGCAAGGGGCAAGTAACCTCATCCTAAGGACAGCCTGCTCCATACATAAGGAATCCCCCTGCTCAGTTGCTCACCTGTATATCCTCCCTCGCACCCTGGGGTGCTGCCCTCCATAGTAGCCTCCCCACCGGCCTTGGTAGTGGCCCCGGTAGCCCCCACGGTCAGTGGTGCTGATGCCGGGCATGTTGGTCCTCTTGGGAAGCACCTGGAAGGAGGGAGGGGCTGTCAGTGCTGGGACTGGGCACAGCCCAACACACCTGGGGTTGGGAGGGATCAGCACCTGGGGCTGGGATGGGAGGGTGGGCACAGCCTCCGGGGCCTCACCCAGCTCTTACCTTAATGACCCGTCCCCTGAAGGTGCTCTCGTCCAGCTCCACCGCAGCCTTCACAGAGCTCTTCTCCTCGAACTCGATGTAGGCGTACCTGTGAGGGGACAGGGTGAGCAGAGCCCCAGGCAACACCCTGCAGACCCCAATCCCTGCACACAAGCACTGACCCTTTGGGGTGCCCTGAGAACTTGTCACAGAGGATGGTGACCCGGTTGATCTGCCCACAGCTGTTGAAGTGAGACTCCAGCTCCTCCGCTGTACCCCCATAATCCACCTGCAACGACAGTCCCGGCCCCTCCAGCTCGCGGGTCTGGGATTCACAGCCCATCATGGGAGGCCAAAGGCCCAGCTGGCCCCACTCACACCTCACCACCACAGCTCCAGCATCACTCACTCCCAGTGAGTGCTCCAAGCCTGGAAACACAAATCCAAGAGCCCACCCAGTTCTGAGGGAACAAGAAACACCACACAACCCTCAGCTTCCAGAGGAGTATTTCGGGGAGCTGACACTTGCAACAGGGAATCTGCAAGTGGATGAGAATCACAGGCAGAGGCTGAGCCATATTCCCAGTCTGGGCTGGGCACAGAAGGAACATTTGAGACAGGACCACCCAACCTTTGGTGGAGGGCTGGAGCATACACCCAGGAATCCGGGAGACATGGCAGTGGGAAGTGCTCTGCCCCAGGGCTCCCACTTACATTGCCCACGTAAATGGATCGCTGGTCAGCCTCCACCTTCTCCTTGGCTGCCTTTGGGAAGAGACCTGTAGAAAGGAGGATGCTTTGTCACAGAGTGGCAGGAGCCGCGTGGCAGAGGGATGTCTGTCTGTCTAGGTCTGCCTCCAGCATGGCCACCACCGAGCTGCTTCATTCCAGAAGCTCCTCAGATCCCTGATCACATCCAGGTGTACCCACATCCCACACTGTTGCCTCCTCCTCCATGCCCTTGCCCCTTTTCTCTTCACAGTGACTCCTCTACTGGGGCTGTTGGTGCTACACTCAATTAATTACCTGGACTAAATACAATTAAATTAATTTACTGCATCTTGGCCCACACAGGTGGGGGTAAGAGCTGACAAAACCTGCATTAGCACCATGCCACGCTTGGATCCCCCTCACTCACCAGTCCCAGGTGCCCAGAGAGGCAAAGCCACATGCTCTGGCTCCTGTGCCCCAGAGGTGTCTCTGAGGAGGACAGCAGCACCCAGGGACAGCCCATACCTGCCTCTGAGCTCATAAACAGGTGGCTCTCAGCTTCCAGCTGCAACTCCTTCAGCTTCTCATCCTCCTTCTCAATCTCCTGCAATTTGGCTTTGATGGCCTCCAGCTCCTGAATCCCAAACCAAGACTGGCATGAGCAGCACACAAAGCAGGGACACCCCAGGTGTAGAAAGTTTCCCATTTCCTTCCAACACCAAGGAAAACCGGTTCCCCACTCAGGCAGGCACTCACCGGGTCTGGCACAGCCAACTCCTCCTTGCTGTTCCCCTCCAGGTGGCTCAGGTCTGAGTTGTCATCTGCTGTCTTACACAAAGCTGCCATCTCTGTCACGTCCCAGGACACCTCCTCTGCTTCCAGGGACAGTGGGCGTTGCCACCAGATGTCTGAAGTGTCCAGGAAGAAAGGACTAGGCAGGACAAGAGGCAAAAAGGCACTTAACAAACAAACAGCCATTTAGCATGGAAGCCAAAGCAGAACCTCAGCCAGGCAAAGGCTCTCAGGGTGTTCCCAGCAGAAGGATGAACAGGTGACACTAATGCAGCTTGTTCTCCGTGCAGCAGGACTGCAGAACTGCGGGAGCGAGGGCAACTAAAAGGTCTTTGGTTCACACTGAGTCACTTCCCAGCTCAGGAGGGCAACAGAAGGGAACTGGAA